CAAGTACAGATATATCATGAAATTGCAGGTAAAAAAATGTTGTTGCATTTAAGTGTGGAACTGCAATAGTGGCTTGTGATTAACACGCCACCCAGGTCACGAACGGATGATTTACTATTAATTCATCACGATGGTACCAGTATATATATATATATATGCAGGGGCTTGTAGCGGGAGAAGTACTGGCCAATTCGCATAGCAACACAGAAATGCTGCAACTATCAACTGATATACGTATGTGGTATTGCGAGTATCCTAAAACCGTAACTGTCTATCACAGATTTGCCTGTGAACCTACCCAACTTCAGCATATCCTGCTCGCGGTCCTGTAAGAAACCTCGGAAAGGGGCCAAACCGGTACCCGGACCGATCATCACAATGGGAGTGCTGATACTCTTTGGCAATCGGAATGTGGAGTGACGCACAAAGATTGGCACTTCTGGCAGATCGTCTGCGCAACAGGTAATACATATTGTGTCGGATGAGCACGGAATGCACAACCATATCCCTCATAGATAAGTACGTAATTGATCACATGCATGTGTTTTAAAATTATTTGCAGGATTTGAAGACTCAATATACGACAAATCATCGATGGTAAGCCAGCTGACGACCACAGGACACATGAGGGAACTCCGCAAAGAAAACGTATATCTGTGCACGGACCACAGAAAATACATACAAATATACAGCTATATCTAGATAAATATATAGCTATATCTATATATCAAGCATGCATAGATTGCAGTAACGCAAACTTGTGTATGCACACAGCGTTCGTTCAGGCGCTGGGTACACCGATTCCATGCTTGCGCTCTTAAATGCGCATCTTGAGCTACATATACAGGTCTTGATACAGTCGATCTAGTGAAAATATGATCGAGGTGATATCAAATGATTATCGACATCCTAGTCTCGCCCATACCTCTCAATGCACTGCTGCGGTCTCCAAGTTCTATACCCCAAAATCAACCAATAAAAGGTGTCAGCGATGTAGCATACCACACAAAATTTGCAGAGTACACAGATATATGGGGGGATACATAGGGAAAGCAAACATACAGCTATCGTCGCAGCTGATGTTCTGTAGGTAGGATGTGCACACGCCCTGAACACTTCTTCCAGTGGGGGTGTCGTACTCGACTACAACGGCGGTGACGTGGATGCTATCCGGGTGCGCCTACAGGAAACGAAGTAAAGTTTGATTTTCGATCAGAGTACTGATGTGGAGTTCCTCAAGTGATATGCGCGTGCCAGGCCTAAAACATATCCCCATTAGAGATGAATTGTAATGGAAAACATTGCTCACAAATAAATAGTGTGCGCCGCTTCGGCATCTTCCCTATCCTTCCAACCCCCAAATGACGTGTTTGTAAACTTTGAGCATACCTTATTCGATGAGGATATGGAGTAGTAGCGTGGTTGCAACCGAGGCATGATCTCAATGATAAGATCGGCTGGTGGATTGAGTGTGTTTAGGCTCTTGATGACCTCTGCATATGTACGGCACTCTGTGAGCACCCATTTGTTGTACTCCTCAGCCCCCTTTTCCGAGGCAAGGTGCAGCAGGAACTCTTTGTCCTGGCCCTCAGCATACTGTGCCATTTGTCTCAACTGGTGTGGCTTGGGGTGCTGATTAATGTCCAGATAATGCGCAAAAGCCGCTCTGTACGTACACGGAGAAGGGAATGGCACACGCTTGGATGCATTCGCCTCTGTTGGCTCCAGTTTGAGCACAGCATCCAGATTCACCTGCAGCAAGCGCCCCATTTCCAGTACCAAATCAGTGTTGTTAGTAGGATAGATGCCCACATGGTCGCCAGCATAGTACTTGATCTTAGTGCCGCTGATATCCAGCTCCACGTGTCGGCATGAGCGTGTCTTGTCCTTGTACAGCTCACGATTGACCTTCACACGTACCATCTGGGGGTTCTTGGAATCCGGTACAAACGTACGGGGAAAAGGAATCGATCTGTGTCGTCCCATCTCGCCCTCGTACACGCGAACCTTCTTCTCGGCAGTGTTCACTTCAGTCAGCTTGTACTGTCTGGCAGCTACGGCATTCTCAACGCCCTCGGGGACCTCCATGTTGAATTGCTTGCACATGGACCTAAACATCCCCTTCTTCCACTTGATAAAATCCTCCTCAATGTTCTTGTCATCGTCACCTTCGCCTCGCGCACACACCTGAGTGGCGCCCAGGCGCTTCAGCACCTTATCGGCCAGTCGACCTACCGCCTGGTAGTGCTCGTACGTGCTGTTCCCGAGTGCAAACACTGTGTAGTTCACACCCTCCAGAGACACACCCTCCCCATCGTCCTTGAGCCATTGGTGGAAGTCTATGGCATTGTCCGTGGGATCTCCTTCTCCGTAGGTCGCCAGGCATAGCACAATCGCCGCATTCTCACATTCCTTCATGCGCTCCAAATCAGCTGCTTCACAGTCTTCCATGTCGTACGGGAGTGCCTTGAGTCCATACAGAGTCGCTTCTGTGCTTAGACGTGCCGCGAAGTCCTCGGCCGTACCGGTCTGCGACCCATACAGTATCAGCAGATTGATCCCTTCGTCTTTGATCTTGTCCACGAAGGAATCTCCGGATGAGAAGTTAGTCTTGGAATCGCTCCCAGTACTACGTGACACCAGCTCGAAAGGTTTCTTTGGCTTGTTCACAAACTTGTCGTAGTACAGATAGGCCAAACTCGCCACAACCACTAGTACCAGAGTGACCATGTCGAAGAGGTCGAGCAAAGGCTGTGTAGAGAGAAGGTTAGGAGAGACGCGTGAGACACAGTGGATTGAGCGAAAAGAAAATACTCGCGCAATCCGAGGACATCGAACCTTTTGTAGTATGCTAGTTGCCGTGTGAAGGAATAGTGAAGCAACAAACCGATGAGCCCAGATGCCGATGGTATATCATATTCGAAACTTTTTCTGACCATTAATTCTATACCTCGTGCTTGACTGACAGATCTTTGTGCAAATACAAAGTGTATTCGAAAGCTACCAAAGACAGCACGGATTGAGCACCGATGCGGCCAGTAGCACAGATTCCGATGATATTTCTTATCCGAAACACCATTACTGACGATGTATATCATAAAAATCCATACCTCGTAATTGTCTGATTGAAGAACGCCTTCAAACATCAGCTTTGTGCACAGTCAAAGAATATTGGAGAGCCATAAAGCACATACTCTATCTACCACTGTCGCTGACAGGGTAGCATCGCATATATATATAGGTCTGATAAAGTTCGCTGAGAAGAATTTCTAGACCATAGAAACTGCAAGTGAGCTACCAGTCTGTAGCGCATACACACATAACTCTGAACAACTAAAAGTGCTTGTGAATTCTACCGTCTCACATGAAATTGTTTGCATCCACCTATAGCCTATAGACATTCCTCTTTGAATGTAGAAGAGATTGAAACGGCTGTATTTCATGATTGTATACAATGTCCACCTTCTGAGACCTTAGACAAATATGGGTTTATGGTTGCTATGTACATATACATGAATAGACCTTCAGATATAAAAAATACAATGTATTAGATTATAGTAAAAAAAAACACATAAATAGTAGGACATATACATATATATCGTATCGACGCCGACATATGATGTATATAGGTGTGTACAGAAGTGCTTACGACTACAATTTCAATTGTCTAACTTCTCAACGATTAAACAAGTGTATGTGTCGTATATGACTCCAAACGATCCGAAAGTTTTCAATCATATGCTCATACTGCGCGACTTTGTACGATAAACAATATGTATACATACAGTCAACGACCGCACGATTATCTCGATTGTACATATGAATATAAAGTAAACTGGAGCATCTTTGCCAACTCAACGATTAAAATTAAAAAATTGAGCTTCTAACAAACGTGTATTGCAGTCTACCTCCTGACATACTTACGTCACACCAATATATATAGTATACCATCAAAAACACATCACATGTATACAGAACAATACATATATACGCTTAAGCACGTATGGGTGTGTTCTTGCACATATACACTCATATATATATATATAAATATATAAATATATATATATATGTGTGTGTGTGTATGTCATATGCATATATA